TGCATACCGCTCCAATCTTTAACAAAAACACCACTACTCCTAATTTTTTGAAAGTGAAGTAGAACTTTTTCATAAATTAGTCGTCAAAATGTCATAAATGCAAATATAAAACTTTAGGAGTTGAATATGTAAATGTAAATATATGTAAAATTCCCTCTAAATTAAACTAATAAATCAATATTTTTCATCAAATTAAAAAAAAATGCCGATTAGTTAGTCCCTTTGATACGCTTAATTTTTCTGTGCGAACTCCGACGTAGCTCAATGTATAGCGGATGTTATTCCTGAGTTTTTTTCAGGTTATTTTTTCTTTATTTTTAATAATCTTTAAGTAACCCAGAAATAACTCGTAACCTTTATTTTTTAATTATTTCTGAATTATTTCGAAATTATTAAAAATAAATCATAAATAATCTGAAAATGAGTCAAAAAAAACACATATAGCTAAATAGGATGTGCTCTTTTTACACGCAATGACCGTGTCTGTAAAGCCATCTTCCATTAGCCTGTAGCCTTCATATGGCAGCTTTTTGCCTTAAAACAATAAACTTATTAAAAGCGGCAATAAAAATATCTAATAAGGGTAACGCTACATGGAGGCTATATGGCTCGGGGACGCCGAATTTACTTTTATTCCCGAAATGCCCCTATGCTTCTGCCGCCGATGATATTCCGGACGTGCCCCTGGTAGAAGTTAGTGAAAAGACAGACGGGGCTTTCTACGCTTTGGCCAGTCTCACGTGGTGGTTGATGCTGTCGCAAGTTGATTTTACGAAACTGCCCCTGCAATAATTTTAATGTCGATTTATGAACCGGCATTGTATTTCTTTTTTAAATGAATCCCGCTTATAATTTTCTAAGTTAATTTGAACATATTCAAAATCTCTATCCCCCTCTCTCTTTCATGCTTGTGTGTGTGCAATGATGTAGTAATTCATAGTTTATGCAGCTCACAATTCCAACTTCTAATGTCTGCATATGTCATTACAACTTACCACTACGGTCTAGGTGGTTTACAGCTCGTATAGCCAACATATGTGACAAACTATGACTTACGTGGTTCATAGCTCATGTAGTTCCGGCTCCAGTCTCTGTAGCCTATAAACACTATACAGTCTTTCACAACTACGTCTTAGTTGACCAATTATCATCTATATAGTTCACAACAAACTCAATTACCTTCATATTTTTAGTCCCCATTAAGGAAAAAATGAAAAAATATAACATGAGTTTTACATGATAATTATATACCAAGCAAATTATGTATAAAATTTGAGAGAAAATTGTATGACATTGCAATTACACCAAAGGTTTTATATGCGGTTCTATTCAATAATTTAAACAATTGTTAATATAAATTGAGGACGACAAAAATGAAGTATAAAGAAAAATATATTATGTTAAACAAAATTAAAATTAGGAAGATTTACAAACATACCACTCAATTCCTTTGTATTTACATATTTAACACCTAAACTTCAATTCCTACATTCATACCATCTTACACATAATTAAAAAAAGGTGTATTTCACTTTTTCTAAGTTAAAATGGTCATATTTTTTTATGTGATATGTACATAAATATAAAAAGAATAATTTATGTGTTAGTTATGTAAATACACAGATATTGGGTGGTATGTATGTAAATGCTCCTTAAAATTCATAGGTCATATTAGAGGAACAATTAGAAAATTAATTTATTAAACATAAAAAATTAAAAATAATTTTAACATGCACAAAAAGAAATGAATATTAATATTGATGAATTAAAATAGAGGATATAAATAATCTAAGATGAAAATAAATAAAAAATCTTCAACTAAATTTTCGAGATATAATTAACAATTAAAATTGATGTAAATATAAATAAATAAATAAATGAACTTATTATATATATAAATCTCAAATAGTTAAGTCTAATAATGAATTTTCAAAATTAAACTATCCAACCGGATCAACAAAGATCGATCAGCCCATGAACAGGGAAACAAGCGAGGGCATTTCTGTCATAACATTAAGCTACGGAAGATGAAAAAATAAGGCACACAGAAAAGCAACACGCACGTTAATTCATGATGCCCCGCGTGGCACGGACGCGTGCTGACCTATATCACTCTCTGACGCGCCATAATAGATCTTTTGCAAACTGTGTTGCGAGATATATCAGTTGAGAAGTATATAAAAGTAAATACTCCTCCTTGCACTTCTCTATCCCGAGGAAATCGAAGAAGAACACCAAAAAGGTCTGTCGTGATTTCTCAACCCAAGGAGAGCCATCCGAAACTTTTATCACGAACAAGAAGCGGGAATGGGCGTAGGCGGGAATAGTTCCGCGATCGAGCGGGAGCTGGAGGAGTCGTGACCTTTCGCGACAAAGGAGACATAGCAGTTCCCGAATCGCTGGCAGAAGCGGGAGTCGGGAGCGGGAGAAGGAGGCATAGATCGGGCCAACTTAACAATCTCCCACTTGGAGACCGATACACATGCTACAACATCTCCTTCCTCAAATTAATCTCCTCCACTGTGGCGTCGCCCTTTTCTTCAAACATGTATCCTCCATCATGAATCCTCCAACTTGAATCCTCCACCTTTGCAACTTAATACGCTGTCTTTACTCCAGAAGACCAACTGAAGTTGTGCACAACTTCAGTTTCTCAAGGGTAACACCCTCAGTCAACATATCAACAGGCCCCACATAGCTTTGCACCTCCAAGCTATTTCATGTGTCACTCTTGTCTCTGCTAACAACTCCCACTACATGGGCAACATTCTGCCTCTGCTGAAAGTCTTTTTCAACAAGTCTAGCTTTGTACCTCTTACTGACATCATGCTTAGTCTTGACCTGGTACACCCACTTGTTGTGCAATGTCTTCTTTCCTGGTTGAAGTTCTGTCAGCTCCCACTTGCTCAAACTTTCATCTTGCAAGATTTCTTCATAGCTCTGTGGTTCTTCAATATGTATGTGGAACAATCGGAACGGGTGCCCCGAATCTACTTTCCTTTTCACTTCCATCACTGCCCTACACTGTGGCATCTGGTAGATTTCTTACCACATTTAAAGCCACTGAATCCAATATCAAGTCTTCAACAGAACTATGAACTGCCAACAATAGTGCATCCTATGATTTTTTAGATATCACATTTGTGTTATCATTCTTCATCTTCTTATGATTCTTGCAGTTTTTCTTTATGTGGTCATTCTTGCCACAATTTCAATAGATTGTCTGCTTACTAAACTTTGATTTTGATCTCCCTATACTTGAGTTCTTGTGATGCCATCTCTCTCTGAAATCCACATTCAGTGTCGAACTCGAACCTGAGACCTCACCAAAATCTTTCATGCGAACTTCTTCGGCCAAAATCAAATTACGAATATCATTGTATTTCAGTTTAGATTTACCTGCAGAACTGCTAACTTCTATCCTCATAGCTTCCCAACTATCTGACAATGAAGCCAACATGATCAGTGCACATATCTCATCACAAAATCAATTTTCTCAGACGACAATTGATTTGTGATAGTATTGAAATCATTCCGGTGTTGAGCAACAGAAACACCTTCTGTCATCTTCAAATTGAATAACTTATTCATCAAGTGCACATTGTTATTCGCCGATGATTTTTCTTTCATACCTGATAAGACTATCATGAGATATACAGTCGTCCTTTCCTTGACAACGATGTGTGCAACGGACCACGATAGGGTCAATCAAATAACCCCTAGAACTTGTCGATCCAAAAAATTCTATTAAACCCCATTCATCCTTTCAGGTCTTTTCCCAAATAACGGAATATGAAGTTTCTTCATATAAAGTTTCTTCATATAGAGATAGTCACCTATCTGCATTATCCAAATAACCAAAATCTGTGTCATCAAACTTCTCGATCCCTGAAACCTTCACTTCATATGCAACCATCATTCTTCCTCAGATCCGAACAAAGCCCTCAGATCCGAACAAAGCCTCAGATCCGAACAAAGCTTTGATATCAGTTTTTTCAAGATATATCAGTTGTGGTGATATATAAAATAAAGTAGAAGAACGATCTTCGAAGCGAAAAATGGAACGAGATAATTCACACCAGAAAAGAACAACACAGCGGAACACGCAGATTTACGTGGTTCGGCAAATTGTCTACGTCCACGGAGTTGCAAAGGATTTTAATACTTGAGGAATTTACATTAGTCGATCACCTCGACTTACAAGAGGAATCTCTCACTCTTCGTTGCTTTCTCTCTTCTTCTCTCTCTTTTCTTCTCTCTCTACACTCAGATACACCGAGATACACCGAAGAAAACTCTACACCGAGATACACCGAAGAAGACAAACTTACAAGAGAAATAAACTTAATTTCTCTTCTTCTACAAGCCACCAAGAAGAAGATTGGCCTAGGGAGAACAATCTTCTTCTTCTTCCTTTACCGCAAGTAACTACTCGTCATTGCACTTCTCTTCTACTGCCCCGTGAAAACCTTCCTCTATCTTGAGGAAACAGAAGAAGAACACCAAAAAGGTCTGTCGTGACTTCTCAACCCAAGGAGAGCCATCCGAAGCTTTTATCATGAACAGGAAGAGGGAACGGGCGTAGGCGGGAACAGTTCCACGATTGAGCAAGAGCAGAAGGAGTCGTGACCTTTCACGACAACGGAGCGGGCCGAAGCGAAGCTTCGCTTCCCGACAGAGCGGATCGCAAATCGCCGGCGGCAGCCGGAGTGAGTCGGGAGTCGGGAGCGGGAGAAGGAGGCGTGGATCGGGCTCCAACTTAACAAGCTGGACTATCGGTCCGCTACTTCACGATGAGCCCACGTTTATTGGGCCGAGCCGGCCCGACCGCAAAATTGCAGTGAAGATGAGATTTATGCGAATTAAATATGATATTGTAATTTTCTAGTAATATTATTTTAATATCAATAAAATATCATCAAAATATTACATATGGTATTGCACCCAATACGAGCTATATATTATTAGAATGGCACGTAGAACTACTCCCCACTCCATATGAAAATAATTCTTGCAATCTACACTCACGATGCGTGATTCAATATTTTCATGTGTTGTAGAGAGAAGCATTCATTATTTTCTTGTGTTTCTTTCCCGCTCTGAGAAAGAAACAGAGGTTCTCTTATGGCTTCGATTTCAGCACTAGTATATTTTTTATGGAAATAACTAGCTCATATTTACACTGAAGTTATTTGAATGGCTCAGCTCATCTTCTCGGCTTCAGCGTCCTGTATTTATAATACTGTAACGGCCCTGCAACTTTTTCGCTTTTGGTTCGGAGAGAGGAAGAGCTGTCTCTGCTTCGAATAAAGAAAGCAGGTTAGAGGGGAAGGTCAAGGACTCTGTGCAAGGAAGGGGAGGAGATGAACACTAGAATGCGGACGGCAGTGCAGGCCATGAAAGCTTGCCCGAAGCTCGACAAAGTAAACTTCTTTGTACGAATCGCATTATGAGAATGCTTTCATCTGGATTTTGATGCCCTTGCATGCGTAAAGTTGTCTCCTTTGTCGAAATTCGTGATGCCTTTGTGGGTTTGCGGATTGGGAATTGAAGGTTTAATGGTGATGGATTCAATGTTGAAAAGTTGGATGCTGTCGTTTGATTAGTAGTGGAGTGCCTCTGTTTGTTTTTTGTTCGAGGTTTTCCATGGAATCGATTGATTTGGTGTTATTTTCCTTAAATGCGATATTTTTTTTTTCTGAAGGTTTTTGAATTGTTTGTTGGTTTCAGATCGAAATTTGGAATGGGTTCTTTGATTTCGATTGCCATCTCTTCTCCATTGGAGAATGAGAGTAATTCGGATGAGAATCCAATTGCGGTATCTTTAAAAAAAAAAAAAAATTTATTTTTATTTTGTATGCTTGCAATTAATCTTTATTGAATCATGCTTAATTTCCCTCTGAATCTCTGTTTGGCGAAGGAGATGGAGAAGGAGAAAACGAATGAGGTGGCTGAGGAAATCAAATTAAAAGAACCAGGAAAATGCCTGTCGAGGAGAGAGAGAAAGATTGCTTTGCAACAAGATGTAATTCTTCTTCGACTTGATTTCTCTCCTCTATCTTTCTCACTCTCTATACTTATATGTCTTCTTCCTTTGTTTTTAAATTTTCATAACTTGCAGGTTGATAAGCTGACAAAAAAACTCAGGCGTGAAGAGAATGTTCACAGAGCATTAAAGAGAGCTTTTACCAGACCCTTAGGTGCTCTCCCACGCCTCCCTCCCTATCTCCCTTCATATGTGAGTACATTTCACAGATTCATTCTCATTTTTATCTCATGAGATATTTATTCTGAATTATTACCATCTCCTCTGTATCTCAAGACACTCGAGCTTCTTGCTGAAGTAGCTGTGTTGGAGGAGGAGGTGATTCGGCTTGAAGAAAAGGTGGTAACTTTTCGACAAGATCTCTACCAAGAAGCCATTTTTATCTCTACTTCCAAAAACAAGAAGGAAACTGGATCGGATTCATTCTATGATCAATCAGAACAACAGAAAGCTCAATCTCGACTGAACGCTTCTGCGATCAGCACCACATCGCCGTCGCCATCAAAGCGGCGATCTTTGGACGGAAACCACCACCATTTTCCTTCCATCTATGTTGTTAAAGAGAACCGGCTTCCAAAGAAGCACGACTCTTCCCTGTCTGAAGAACATAGAGGAAAAGAGAACCAGGTTAAGTATTCATTAGATTCTTCTCTGGAGAATGATTTTCTGTACATATACAATCTAATTGTTACTCTAATCTCTCTTTCCAGCCAAAAAATCAAGCAGCTGATAAGGTAAGAAAAGTTCCCACCTTTCAGAATCCCTCTGATAAAAAGTCCTGTAAGGAACTCAGCGGACCAAACAAATTATCAGAGGAGATCTTGAGATGTCTCTTGAGTATTTTCTCAAGGATTAGCTTGGCGAAGAACGCAATGGCGATGGAGAGCGAGTTTTCTCCTTCTGTTTCAGCCTCTTCTGAAGGTTTAGGGATTCAAGGATCTCTAGATCCTTATAGTATTTGTTCACAATTTGGGAGAAGGGATGTAGGCCCATATCAACACCTCCATGAATTAGAAGCAAGCTCGATCGATCCAAATCTCATCTCAAACTCATTGTTTCTTACACAAAGATTGAAGTAAGTTTTGTGAGCTGAATTAGTTCATATTAACAGTGATACTGAGTTAATTGGGATTTAATTATGATTTAGATTACTGTTGAAGAAGCTCTCATCTGTGGATGTTTCTGAGCTTACTCATCAGCAGAAGCTTGCTTTCTGGATCAATATATACAATTCATGCATCATGAATGTAAGCTAAATACGCTTTCTGGTTTAATTCAGCTTGCTTTGACTGATTACATTTTACAGCAATTTTTTAATATTCTTTTTGAGGTTTGGTAAAATACTAGATTGTTAGAATTTGTGAACCGAAGTAAAACTTGGTACTTTTTTTGTATTTGTTTCGGTAGCTCGTCTTTTAGCTATTATTTTCCATAAACTAACAATATGATTCATAAAATTCATATAATTTGCCAGGCATTTTTAGAGAATGGTATACCCACAACTCCACAGATGGTTGTTGAGCAAATGCTTAAGGTACATTATTGCATTTTTACTCTTTATTCGTTGACACCCTTAAGAAGAAGAAAATCATTTAATCTATATTTATTTCTTATTTTATTCAGGCAATGGTAAATGTGGGGGGACACATACTCAGTGCAATGAACATTGAACACTTCATACTTAGATTGCCTTATTACTCAAAGCATGTGAGCATACTTCCTTTAGTTTTACTCGAAGGTTCGATTTTTTTTGGGGCATTTACATGCATACGGCTCAATTTTTATATATTTACATACCGAACACACAAATTTTTCTTTTTACATTGTTACCGCGCAAATCTTTCATATGACAAAAAATACCATAATTTTAACTTTTAAAATGTGAAATGCACCTTTTTCAAGCATAGAGAAGGAGATATGTATGTAAAAGTGAAGTTTAGGTTTTAAATATGTGACTACATAAGAAATTGAGGGGTATGAAGGTAAACGTTACTTTTTTAATCACTTTTAAGGCCAAATGATTTGTTTTGCATCCTTAAACAGTACTCTTTGGAGAGACTAAGAAGTGATGAGAAGACAAGAAGGGCAGTGTTCAGGTTAGATTGGCCCGAGCCATTGGTAACATTTGCTCTTTCTTGCGGAAGTTGGTCGTCACCAACCGTAAGTTTTCTGCCATTTCCTTACTTAAGAATACACAACAATATGCTATAAAGATGCTTTTGATGCTCTAATAAAGCTCCAATCAAAGAGCTTTAATTCAAAAGGTAAGGGGACTAATGTGACAAATTTATAAATTTTGTTACTAAAATGACATCATGTAAATAATCAAAGGGCTTATTTTGACACTTTACTCTTTATTTCGGTATACATTTCTTACTATTGTTGTTTACATTGATACAATTTAAAGAGTTTGTGGACTGAGCTGACATTTGTAGACTCTGTGACTAAAGTGATCCAATGTAAACAGACAAGACAAGGGCCTACTTTTGACGCTTCACTCTTTATTTGGCCATATATTTTGTACTAAATACTACAAATTTCTAAGATAAAAATGAAGCTATTGCAATCAGATCTGCTAAAATATGGCAGGTGAGAGTGTACACCGCAATGAATGTACAACACGAGTTAGAAGAAGCAAAAAAGGAATACCTACAAGCAGCAGTAGGGATATTGAAGCCAAACAGATTGGCCATACCCAAACTGCTGGATTGGTATCTGTTGGATTTCGCTGAGGATTTCGAGTCATTAATGGATTGGATCTGCTTCCAGCTTCCACCTGAACTCAGAACTGAAGCATTCGAATGCCTTCAGATGAGCAGGTTTGTGATTCCGCATGCAATACAGATTCTTCCTTATGAGTTCAGATTCAGATATCTCTTTGTTCCTTAGATTTTAACTCATTTCTCAGTTTAATATATAAGTCAAAAATGGTTGTTGTTCAGTTCTGTACAAATCTCTGAGACATAAATTGTTTGTGGGAATCTATAAAATGACTTGTTTCTTTTTTTCAAATAGTGTCAAGATCAATATAGAACTATGTATTTGCATACATACCACCTAATTGCAATGTATTTGCATAACTAACACATAAACTATGCTTTTTTTTTATGTATGGGGCATTTCCATACATACCAACCAATTCCTATGTATTGACAGATGTATAACTAAACTTTACCATTTACATTTATACCACCAAAATTCAAAGATATCACTTTTTTTACTCATGTGGATACCAATAACATATGAAAGTGAAAATTACATGCCTCTCCTTACAGTTGATTCATAAAAGCTGCAAAAACCCTAAAATCAAGCCTTGAAGAAGGAGATGGAAATCAAAGGGATTGGATAATTGGACCGATTGCATCAATCAAGCAAATCAGGTGGCCCACATGCCATGCCATTAAATAAACATACTCAAAAGAAGAGAATGTGGTCCATTGATGCTAGGGTTCTTATAAATTAGGGTTTGGTAGGTTGGGGGCTTTGCATGAATTGAGCTTTGGATCTCATTAATGGAATAGGCAATAGGTGTGTAGAGCAAATAAGGAATGGGATTCATGGACAGTGGAGTGGTTAGTGGCGACTCCCATCTGTTTATAGAAGGCAACTAAAAGGATTCTTTGATCCCCTTTTTTTATTCATGGATTTTGCCCTCAATTTTTCAATGAAATTATGTCACGTCACACGACGGACCCACTAAATAAATATATATATATATATATATTTTATTGAAGTCTTGATGTATTTTTTCATCATGTAATGTTTTTTTTCCAATTTTGATAGTTTTTAAACTTATTTTTACTATAGTAAAGGGTCTTTTATTTTATTTTGGGGGATTTAAATATATATCTAACAGCTAAAATTTGGTTTTTATATAATTTATACTACACAAATCTTTTATATCGCATCTAAAATGTTACTTTGTTAAATTAAAAAAAGTGAAATATTTCTTTACACACATAGGAAAGGTGATGTATATTATGTAAAAATTGAAGATTAGGGGTTAGATATGTAAATAAGTAGTTGCATTTTTTAATAGTATTTTTGGTCATGTTTTATGGCCATTTGATAAATATTTTAGTAAAAAAAAATATTAGAAATAAAGATAATGAACTAATTATAATTGTAGTATAAGATTGTGATTAATATGTTTTGTCATGGGAACAATCAGGCTTGTATGCTCACCATGCAGCTCGATCACCCGCCGATCAGCCCTTCCTTACACAGCTCCAACCTCCCACGCAATCTGGCATGCCTACACCGTCGTCGTACCCTATACCTCTCCACTGCTATGAAGACACCACCTCTCCATCCAACCCTCTCCCCAAGCCACACCCGTCGCACCCATGCCTGTTAGCCTCCCTCCCCACTAGCACAATCCCATCGATGCTCCAACTCTCCCAAGAACACCCCCGCCGATGGGCTGTTGTTGGAGAAACATGAGAGTAAAACCGAGAGGTGCAGCAGGGAAAGACGAAAACATTAACGAAAGTGTGAACATAAATTTATGTAGATTTATCTCCCTTTGAAGAATAAAATCATCTTAAATGAAAGCCAACACAAAGCATCACTATACGTTTCCAAGACAATTTTTTTGGAATCACATAACTACAACAAAAACTGTAATATATTTTATTTTATTTTATTAAAACATACTATGGTGATGCTTTCTATTCATATCAAAATTTACTCTTAAATGTTTTTTTTTTCTCTAATTTGACATATTGTGTGAACATGGTAGGCCTGTAGATCTCAGGAAAGTATTATTGGGCCATCAATTTGGCCCACTTTTAGGGGGGCTCATTTAGTTATAGTTTGCTTTAAGAAGAAATAATTATTGATCTTACTTTTCCCTCAATTTAGGGCATTCATAGAATCATAATGGAGTGTTGTATGGATCCATTTTAAAATTGATGAAACCAAACTGCAACCGAAATTCAAAATCCAAGAAATCAAACTAACCAAAATCGATCGGACCGAACTGAAATTTAATTCGATATATTAAGAATTACATATCTTATCTACATAATATCATTTTAATTTTATGAATCCTCAGTTGTAAAAATTTTTATTTTTTAAATTTATTGGACATGAAATTAATCACTCCTAATTAACATACATATCACATTACTCTTTTATTTTATTTATATAGTACAAAAAATTTCATATATTCAAACATAACACTTAATTTTTAGCAGCACATCGAAACACAACATTTAGAAATTACAATGCAACTATTCATGTTTAATTTTTTGACATTAAAGTGTTATAAACATAAATATAAAAATATTGTTAGTAGATATGTAAATACATAACATTCATGCGGTATGCATGTAAATTTTCCTAAATTTAAAAGATTTTTTTTTTTAGTAAAAGATTTTATATAAGATTTAAAGTTGAATGACAATGAAATAAAAAAAAGAGTATGTTAAAATAAAAAATATTTTTTAAAAAAAATTATAATATTTGACTTATGAGTGTGAAAATAAAATCAAAAGTTGTAGAAGATTTAATGATGTTTAAAATTAATGTTCGGCATTAATTACATCCAATCAACTGAAAAATTATAATTATTTTTAATATATAATTAAAACTTCAGGCCCTTAACGTTACTTGCTTTAGCCTTATTGGCGGTTTTTACATAGAGCATTAATTCTCACAATTAGAGGAGGTTTTCAGCACATAACAATAAATTCTAAATATATACATATGATATGTAGATATATACGTATTTATAAATATGTATGCATACACATGTATTTGTGTGTACGTATGTATGTTTGTGTGTGTCAATATGTATACATATATCTATGTGTGTAGATGTATCTATGTATGTATGTGTATATATCTATGTATTTGAATTCTATATATTGGAAAAAGTACCTAATTTTGTATTATAAAAAAAAAACTTGAGCATAAACCAAATAACTCACAAAGAATATAAGCAGGAAACTTGAAATTCAAAAGCAAGCAGCAGCAATTAAAAAAGAAATTTCAAAAAGGAAGCAGTAGCAATTCACCTTCAACGGCTAGAATTTTGAATTCATATTCATCTTCAAAATCACTCCGAATTTGACCCCCCAACAATTAAAGTGTATTGCATGGCTAAAACCATAATTGGAGAGGTTTCAAGCCGCAATCATAATCCTTCATCCAAAACTTTCAAATAGAAAAATATATGCATACATACCACTCAATTTCCATATATTTACATATCTAACATCTGAACTTTGATTTTTACCACCATATCTATGAATGAAAAGTTGTGATTCAATTTTTTGAAAGTTGGAAGGAATTTTTATATGACACGGAAGATTCTGGTGGCATAAATGTAAAAAAGTAAAGTTTTGGTGTTAGATATGCAGACATATAGGAATTGGGCGGTATGTATGTAAAGCCCCACAAAAGAAATAGTGATTCACCATGCTAATTAATGACAAGATGGTCTGAGCATTCTATAAAAGAATGGATAACAATTTAAGTGCATAATTGCAGTACAGTACAAATAATTTAGTTTTATCACAACAATCAGTCAAAATTTTCAAAGAATGTAAGAAATATAGTGCTGGTTTGTAAACTGTATTTTACACTGCCATCAATTTTCCGTTACTCACTAACCTGGAAACCAGTTGTAGAAGATTTGAGCTACTAACTCACCTGTTGCTGGAAACCATACATGGAGTAAGGACCATAAGCAGCGGCATACATGCCGGGATGCTGAAATGGCACGGCGTAGCCATATCCCCCATACATTTGTGCTCCATAGTACCCGCCGCTCCGCCGGTTCGGAGAATCCAATCTCAACTGTAAACAAAATTTGAGAAGAAACTTGTGGTGTTTAACAAAATGAGTTCATATTCCAACTAAACAAGAGATTAGAGGAATTTTTATATATGGCAAGAAATTTGTTTCAGTTAAGTTTAAGAAAAATAATACAAATATGATAAATAGACAACACATACAAATAAAGAGAAATTATCAAAATTTCCTGATGAATTTTTTGCAAGGACCATTTTAGTCCCAAAGTTTACAAAAGTGTCAACTTAATCCCCATATATTTTTAGTAAGAGATAAGATAGTCTACTTCAACCTCTATTTAAAGAGTACGGGGGTTAATTCGACACTTTTATAAACTTTGTGATTAAAATGACCACATGTGAACAGCCAATGGACCATTTTAACACTTCAGGTTTATAAAAAAAGATTAGAAAATTTATTATTCAAAGTCATGAAAGTATCGCAGCTATCTTGTTGAGGGGGAGGCAAAGAAACTGAGAATGGCATGAGACTTAAGAAAAAAGAATGCTAGAGTCACGCCTTCAAAATCCAACACTTAGTCTTGGAGAAAAAAAAAAAGAAAAGTTCAATAGAAAACTTTAATCTGTGATGCATAACATGCTCACAAAACATCCCAAATTGTAATTTTCTAATCACAAAATTAAACTCTCGTGCAAAACTCTAATATGCCGCGCTCTGATATATGGCCAAACCTTATTTCTCATAAGGAATATTCACGTACACACCAGTCAATGCCTACGTAAGTACATACATAACAACTAAACTTATGTTTTTACACATATGACATCTTAACTATACATGAAAACATGTACGTTTAAAATTAATAAATGATGTTAAAACAATTTTATTTTAACAAAATGCAACTTCTTTCTGAATTATTTACTTTTTTTTTTTTTTGCTTCGCTAAGGGGTATAATCTAGGAATAAGGTTCCTAATATTCGTACATCATTTTTTTAATGCTTTGTAATGAAATTTAAAGTTATATATTTTAGCAACCATCATAAATAAATTTCCTATAATATCTCAAACTTACAAAATAAATGCCATTTATTAAATTCATAAAAATTTCAAGGTGTACATTCCAAAAATACCCTCATTTTAATAATATCTATTGATTTTAACTTCAATGTTCGGTTCTGTTAATAATTTTGGTTCGTATTTTAAGACTCCAATGGCAAATCATTTTTTTTTATATAGTCTGGAACTAAAATGCACCCTCCCCCCCAAATAGTAAAC